CGATTTTAGGTTCTATGAAGAAGAGGAAAAGAAAAGGAGAAAAAGAAAAAGAAAGACACTTTCAGGTTAGGTACAAGAAAAGGGAATAGATTAACTTTAGGGTTTCAGATAGGGAAAGAGGAGGCCATGCAGCCTACCGGAGGGACGATACACGTTGGAAGATGCCAAGGACAGTACTGTTCATATTTATGAAGCTGGGAGCGTCCCAACTAGTAGTTGTGGAATTTATAACGGGCATGCGTCTGCCAATTTTAACAGTCTAGACAATCGTCTATGTCAATATACAGGCACATGATGTCGTAGCAGTAATTAGATATATAGTTATATTCGAACATATGCGACAAACTATAGCAGAGATAACATATCACGTATTATGTCTGAGTGGTGAGCAATAATAGTTATTCCATTATATATAATCTAAATCCGTGGTATTGTATTTCACTCTGGTGTCCAACTACAAGCTTCTGCATCGCCGTCCTGCCTACAATTATGAGAGGAAATGATCCCAACGCTACAGAACACGCGTTTAGCAATTAACGTCCGTTTTCCCGTAGAAGCCAGCCCTAGGGGCCACTGTAACTGATTGGCGTATGGGAAGTTCGTCTCGCAGAGGTGGAAGGGACGACAATATTGCTCGTCAATTCTTCTTCTTCTTCCTTCGCATTATTAGTCCCACTCAAGTGGGGTCGATGGATTTACGGATTCTACGAGGCCCATACTCTGCCCAAACCAGAGCATGTATATGATATACGTGCTCTGCCCAAACGAAGACGGGTGATCTAGCAGCGCCACCTTTTGGGGTCTGTCCGTTAACTTCGTTAAAAATGTTTGCGATAGGGAAATAATGCACTTATGTGCACAATGCGCAACAGTGCGTGATCCCGTCGCGGTCTGTTACGACCTTGATGGATGGTATAATGGACTATTATGCCCACCTTTATAGTGTCATCATCTTTTAAACACTTTTTTACAAGTTTAATGTAATAAACGAGTTTTTTTCACATTTTTTTATTCAATTTAACTTTCGATTCTCAAAGAGAAGTAGGTTTACAAAATGATTTAGCTGTACAACAACGGAGGTTTGCACAATGATTAAGCTGTTGTACAAAAAGAAAATCTGAAGTCTTCATGTGACAGTGTGAGCTTAGATGAACAAAATTTAATGTCTTTACAAAACGTCTCATCCATACAATAATACCATGGCATGGTAATGATTTGCAATTAAAAATGCCAACAGCAATCAAACACTACGTTTCATATCGATTGTCAAAAACTGCTAACAATAAAGCCCAGTATTGAACAAACAGTTAGATGACACATATATAACTTCTAGAGCGTAAAAATGTGTTTCATACTGATCAGAGCCATAGAGGGATGAGCAAGGCGCAGTCACTCCCTCCTCCAGATAAGCTTAGATACTATTACATTGCCAATGGCAAAATCCCAACGGTCCACCGCCTAGAACACAAACTGAACTTGTCTTTGCAACACCCCCTTCCCAGGATAAATGAGTTATTTAAGCCCCGCCAATATGGCACTAATGCTACACTGAATAAGCAACTCTGTGCAACAGTAATGAGTACAATAAACAGCATCATCCTCACTATCAGCCAGCATCACCATAAACACGTGAATACTATGCATATGATCATGGTATCATATTGGTGGCAATTTTAATTATTTTTTAGGCCATGTGCCTTGTATTAAACAGGATAACAGAGATAATAGGCCATGTTCGAGCCACAGTCAAGCCGCCAGCAATAAAACCAACTCGCAATGACACAGGAAATGCATCAGAAGAAAAATAAATCTCCATCCAGATCTAATCTGGTGTTCCTAATTGGCATTATAATGTTTACTGCAGCAGGCAACAAGCGACTAGGTTTGCATGTATAGCAGTACGTTTCTTGGTCTCACGTGACGTGTGCTTTTGAGCTGAAGGTCACGGGGATGCTCCATGTCGTAAACAGCATGGACAAGCCGTACAGAATCGGGATGAATATGTTTGTCGTCATTGCTATCACATAATGGCTGATGCTTGTGCCAATATCAAGCCAGCTGCCAGTGTTCCTCACGAGAAAGAAAAAGTGCTGAAACAGAATGTTAAACTGTCACATGTGGTCAACAAAATATTAAAGTTAACGTGGAATTATAGCACATATTGATGAGAAAATACATGATATCGACACACGAGTGTAATACGCGAGAGGTTTAATCTTGCCCTGCTACAAGTTTTCTATTAATCTTGCATATTATAAAAATCGTGACTACACTATACCAGATATAATGCAGCTCGATATAATGCAGAATCGCTTATAATGAAGTCAAAAGTTTCACCCCCTAACTATACAAACTAGTTACCACCCCTTTCTCTTTGTATGTAAATAAATATATAAATATTAGTATCTGTCTATTTCCAAGGCGTCAGATCTGTCTATTACATAAAAGTATAAACTCTTTATAATTCAGACTCGGAGTAATGTGGTGGACTCAATCGCACACATTGCATCTAGAACATGATGCGCATATGGTTTCGCACATAGTTGTCACTGTGTCAACTTACCAGGCCCATCACGTCTGACATGAGCAACACCAGGAGGAACAAACTCCTTGTTGGCACCTGAACGGTAACATTCACTGCGTGGAATGCACAGCTCACAAGAATGAATGGGATCAACACCTGCAAATTAAATACAGCATCACCATCTATTGGTTACAACAGCATAATTTGATTTAAAAAAAACAAGGCATGACGGCTGTATCATGATACCAAGAACATGCAAGCACACTATCAGGTGTGGTTCTGTAACAATGCCATTCTAGAATTTTCAAAAATTCCCACTAGGTGCCACTCTGGTCACAATCTACTTTCATTAACTGATTCTCAAATAGCCTCGATCATGCAGTACAGCCATGCAGCCATACAGCCAGTTGCAATGTTTTGGCAGTCAACTGTAGTAATTATATATATAGTTCTGCCTTGACCATAGTCTTTAACGGTAGCAAATTAAACACCACAAATCTTAATAAAAACGTTACAACATCTATTCAAATGCCATCTCATCACACTTTTTGACAATTAATGCTGGAATGGAATCATTGCAGCAACGTAACTGATAGACTCTCTGCATACCCAGAGTATAGATATTTTCCTAATGATATTGTACTTTACCTTAAGTACAATTAGAGCTCCCATTGTAAAAGGACTGAATACTGTCAGAAAGCAGTACACTGAAGCTGGATCAAAGCTGAAGAAATAAAACAAATACAGGTCAGCTCTCCAAATTTCGAACGCCCTAAAACGACGATTATTTTAGTTCATCTGAGACATGTAAGATATGCCTATAAGAGCTCCCCCCTTCCCCCCGTAAAACTTCACAGAACACTAAACTAAATTGACGGTTCCGAGAATGTTTGGTATTGGGAGAGTTAACTATGCCTATGCAAAAATGATGACTTTCTGTTTAAAATATATCACAAACAATGCATTAAGGCGCACAAAACATACAATGACTCTATGCATTTGCATGAAACAATCTCTCATTTCAATCCTTTAAGATGAGGGTAACCAGTTTTATCTGGAAACTTTTGTCTTTAATTTGTGCGACTGCGGATGCTGCCAGCTTTGGTACTTACCTATTAATGCTCGCGATGTTGCCTGTGCCGAAAAACGATAGCATGATGAAGAAGATGTAGAAGTATGCTGATCTGAGATCAGAAAATGAGAGAAACCTGGTCATACTCTCCATGGTGTAACGGTGGCTTGGCTTAAAGTCTGCACTAGACAACGGTGCACCTTGCTTTTGTGCAACCCTGTGTTCGATGTGCAGCCAACAACATAGCAGACAGCACAGTGACAAGCAAAAGAGTGCCTCGTAGCTGCATAGAAAATACAATAGGTTAAAGTGATTATGTCACCGTAAATGATAAAAGTGAAAAAAATTACGACAACTTTTTCACAAAATGTAAGTGATTCTGTTCACTTTTTATGGTTATATTGCTGCATTATACTTCCTATTTTGCTATTCCATTCAATGTGAATAAACCCTCGTGACTCATACATAGCCCATAGCAAGCATTTCATTCATTGTCAATGTATCAAATCGCCCAAATTTTTTGGATTTTTAACTAGTTGAAAAACAATCTTATCAGGTAAGAATTTGAGGATACATTTAGTGCTGTTAGCACTTACTTTTCATGTAAAAAAAATTGCAACAAATGTTTTACAGATATACACCATAGAAAAATCTTGACGTAGTCAATTTAAGAAATGTGCACATCAGAATTACAGATGTTACATGTTAGCAGAGACTATAGAATTTTCACAGCGTGAATCCTAAGCTTCGAGTAAATCGTAATAAATTTAAGCAGGATGCGGTGCATTGCCAAATTCAGTCTACAAAGAGAGTGCACGTCTCAGAATGAATATTGTTATACCTGGTACTCATGAGAATGTAAACACTGACTAGAGAGAGGCTAATTGTCAGTAGCCTTGATAGCAAAAATGTAGAGCTGAATAATGGCAGCACCAGGGACAGTCCTGAAAAACATATATAAAGAGCAAATTAATGATAGTTACCCTTTGTTGGGTATCATATAATCAGGAAGTAATAGCCGGTCCATACCTTTAGAACAGTAACCTCAGTTATAATAACTATATCACCTAATTCAGCCACATCAAAACGGGCCATAATTAAGTGTCCAAATGCACTTGACTTTAGTGTCTAAATATTCATAGAATCATCAGTATTTCTAATTATCAACCTGTTACTGACTTATTGTTAGTACTTAATAGTTATTGACTGTATTGGGAACTAGCTCACACGCATTTTAATATAGCAGTTGATGTCATCAGTTTTTGTACTAACCTAACAGTGTCCAACTTAGAATTCTGCTGATCAGTGGAAGACCCTGCTTCCTCCCCAGACTAGACACAGTTGTAAAGACGACCAGTGCTGACGTGCACACAAAGGCAATCTGAATGATGCAGACAAACTTCGTTTGTGTGTGCTGGCCATCAGTGACCCATGTAGATTTTAACCTGTAAGAATATGTACTATAAAAATGTCTGCCTGGCCAACATCCACAATAATTAACCTAAATTATGATATTAAAAGTCGTTATAGGTAGCAGGGATATTTTACCAGATTTATTTATAACATTTATCAATTTAATTGATTGTTCGGAAATATATGCACGATGCAATACTTTCTTGATAAAGTATAAACTTTTCATCAAGCAAAATTACATATACATTGTATTCTATATCATGTAATATATAGTAGCTATATAACATACAGAGCTAATTAAGGGAGTTCAGTTACCTGAGCCACCTATGTGAAATTTGTCGATTTACAAGAGATATAGTGCACTTATTGGAAATTATGAAAATTATTCATTAAAAGATGGATACTAATCTTGAGATCGTAATATAATCCGGTATGTATTTGTTTAGAAAATATCCTATTGAAATCTTGGAAACTAATGAACTTACCTATATAGGAAGAATCCAGCGATGCCAATAGTAATGGCAGCCGTAAGATAAACATAATAATAGTTGGCCTCCCGTCCTACCACTGGCAGTAGAGGGAATACAGCAACAAGCAAACACAATGCTAACCAGGTATACACTATAGCCTGTGAATGCCAATAAGAAATTTGAATGAAACTCAATGTTGTATCAAAAACGTACTATAGTGAATGTTTTACTTTAATTTTACTGCTGTTATTTGTGAATATTCATGTTTTTTACATTCTAAGATATATATGTAGGCCTACTGATCATAAATATAACATGCAATGTATAATAAGAAGATTATTATTAAAAATAAATTAGTCGTTTTTACTATACTATCACCTGTGCTGATAACCAAATGCGTTTTTGACTGATTACTTCCATTTAACAAACAAGATTTAGGTAGTGTGTATGGAGAAGGTTTTATTTGGTTTAACTCCATTTCTCAGCAGTATCACTACAAGTCTTTATACATATTACACAGGGTTCTACACTAGTACAGGACTATATGTAGCCTAATATGTGATAACTAGCACACTAAGTTAATTCGTGTATAATGTTTTTTTACCTTGTCAGTTTCCCTCAATATTGTTTTAAGAGGCCAGACTCCAATAAATACTAATCCTATAGATAATACCTCTCTGTAAAAAAAAGACAGTACCTGAAAAAGTCAATACCAATAATTATAAAAAGTAGTAGCAATACTTACACTGTATATGATCGAATCATCAGTATCAGAAGTCCTATCAGCCAGTTACTTTGGGGTGATACTCCATTAGGAGTGTTCCCAACTTTGATATCATTAATGATTAATGATTAATGATTAATGATTA